GTTTCAAACAGTACTTATGGGAATCCACTTAATTGTTTATTAGTCTCTTTTCTTATTTAAGTACTCCTATAAAATTAAAACAAACTAACAAACAAATTTAAAAAATGGCATCCAATCAAACAACTTCTTCCTATGTAGCTGCTCCGTCCAATACTTCACATCCATGGACGATAAGAGAGGTAATGGTGGTAACACGATGTTGGATGAACGTTTACGAGGATGTAACATCCATGGTTAACCCTGATTGCTTTGAAGGCGAGGAATGGACTCGCATAACAATTATGTTTAACCTCTCGTTGGGAGAAAGAAACCACCGAACACAAGAAGATATTGTTGGTAAGTGGATGGATTTGAAGAAAAAAATCACATGATTCAATCGATGGTATCATCATCTTAAAAATAGGTATCGTTATCCAAACACCGACAAAGATCTTTTAGAATTGGTTAAAGGTCATTTCATCTTGGAGCACTAGTGAAGTGACTTCGAGTATGAGGATGCATGAATTCTACTTAAAAATATCAAATATTTCATGTAGAAGACTCTTATATGTGAAATGTCTTATGTAATGTTTGCTACTGATGTATCTCGTTTTCTATAATGTTTTATGTTTGTGTTTTATTTTTCATGGAATAAAGTAGATAATAAGTGGGGTACTAGATTTAATTAATAATGTTAGAAGTGCAGTTTAATACAAGCAATACATATTAGAAATACGGGAATTCATTACGTTCATACAATAATCTAAGGAAAATTTAAATCAAATGTGTTGTTTAAATCAAAAGTAGGGTACACGCTTTCATTATGTGACCCACTTCCGGATGCGATTTCGTTAGTCATTATGCACTTTGGTATCGATTTTTTCCTCCCCCCATATCTGCTCCCCGATCCCCTACCTGTACAATCATTCCTCGTGTGTCCAAAATGACCACATGTAGAACATTCTTGTCTTATGGGACGCTCACCTTGCGATGGAATACCACCAGTGTTTCTTGGTCTACCCGGCTGACGTCTCTCCATTATGGGTGGCTTCACAATCATCAAATCATCGGGAATCTCCCACTCAGATGGACTTGGTAAGGGGTTCACAGACTCCTCGTAAGCTTTCCTCAATGTCTCTGTAAAGTAAGGTTTTAAAGCAAATTCCGAACAATCTTCGCAACGGTTCATTGTGAGCACTTTTATGACATGGCCACAAGGTAAGCCATTTTCTTGCCACCGCCTACATGTACAGGTTCTTTGTTGGAAATCAACAATGATACTTTTGTGAGTAGAGTTTTTCACTTCAAATCTACTATATGAGATAGGATACACCATCCAATTATTACAAGCATTCTTATTTGCTTCTATAATCGTTTCAGCCCATGGGGTGAGTGTTGTTTTTTGCTTCATCTTAAAAAATAGATATAATTTCATAATATCATATTAGTATTAAAATAACATTTCAAGTACTATTATATATAAAATATTAGTACTTGCAACATCACGTTTCTGAAAACTCCATTGTTGCATTGTTGAACGGAAATACTCAATCAACATCAATACTGACATCTTTCTTGCAAATCTTGACATTGAATTTATCAACTCTGCACTATTTGATGTCATAAGAAAATATTGATTCCCACGAAAATGTGCCATGGCCCATCTTTCTAGACTGATGTTTTGTAGGTATTCCCATACACCATCATTTACCTTTTTAATTTTTTTCATCCGATTATCGAATTTTTTAATAGTATAGGCTTTGCATGTCTCCCAAAATAATGCGTGTATTGTATCGCTGCTTCCAAATTTTGCTGAAATGTTGAAATACAATTGGATACCATATATTCCATGATGGGCGTAAGGAAATATATTTGCAATTGATGTCGCTATAGATGGAGCCCTATCAGATATAAATGTAAAGTCTTCCACGTTGCCTATACATTCACGTAGTTTTCGAAGGAACCAGGACCATGTCTCTGTACATTCACTTTTTCATATGGGATAAACAACATGCATGATTTGGTTTTGACCGTCCATTGTCACTGCGAGCAACATCGTACCCTTGAATTCACCTTTTAGGTGACCACCATCAATTATTAGGGTTGGACTACAATATTTGATGAACGTTTGTGTCTACAATTATTTTTGATGGCATTAACAAATACCAATTAGGATTCATATGTTATATTTTTTATAAAAAATTATCACTGCTTATCGAGCAACCCAACGCGATATCCACGAATTCAAACCAATCATCACCATCTGTTCTTATCTGAGTAACAGTTCCATGTTTATGCTTGATCAAGTTGTGCAGATACGTTGGTAGTTTGGTGAATGAATTCTCTTTGGTACATCTTAACATCAACAATGCATATTGTTTTTCCCGCCATGCATGTTGGTATGAGATATTGATTAGAAATTTCGAATTAATGTCCCTCACAATTTCTTTACCCTGATAAACTCTATTATAATCTCCGGCCAATACTTCAGCGATAAAGTGGTCGAGTACCTTTTCCTTTGATTGTCGATGATTAGACTGCAAGTTTGTTGCACAACAAGTGTGCCGGTCAACAACTTTTGTGACTTGGAAAGCAATAGTCGATTTGATTCCCCTTGCCCTAACCATCCAAGAACAATTTTCTACCAAACAAATCACATCGAACCTTTCTTTACTCAATCTGGTAGTCTTATACTGCTTACCTTGTTCCATGCATTGTCTTCCAATTGCAAGCTTGAGCAACTCTTTGTCATCACAAATGTCTAGAACCTTAATCTCTTCATTTATATCCACCCTATGAGATGGAATGTTCACGTCATCGTTTATAAGACACGAAGGAAATGGGAGCATACCATGAAACATGGTATCTAAATAAACAAGTTTAGGTTCTTCATCAAATTATTCTCCGTTAGAATCACTCTCTAGGATAAATATATCCAACTTGTCACAATCAACAAACTCGCCATATCCTTTTAGTTCACCATCATGCAAAAAGGAACTTCTTGTTTTCCAGATTCATTACCAACCTTATTCACCACGTCTAGTGCTTTTTTTTTTTTTTTTTTTTTTTTTTTTTTTTTGTCAAAGTAATGACTTGGACCAACATCATTATCACTGATATACTTATAATTCTCCGGTGTAACATACATAATTGGTTCTAGCACTACAGACACTACATTTATATTTTCAGTGACACTATGATATTGACTTTTACTTGGACCTTTAAATTACCTATTGGGTTGTTGCTCCCTTTTCCATTTGATAAATTAGCTGCAGATGCCTTTCCTCTATCATCCACTTCGTTACGCGAAACACCTTCTTCAACCACCACATAGACAAACACAGATTTATCTCCAATGACATTTATTACCTTGATCAGCTTTCTAATATCACGATCATCAATAATACCACAATAATAGAGTTGTTCTGGATGTTGATAAGCCATATTGACTTTTGATTATTCGGGAAGACCCATCTTGCACTTCGCCAAATGAACAAATTTGGTGAACGTGGTGGTTTTTCGTAAAATTCAACACCTAAATAAAACATTCTCGGATTGTATTCGGGTGGCCAAACATATGATAATTGGGAATTAACAAACTCTCATCTTCCATCCGTAATGAGCAATACGAAATACTCGTTACAACTCATTATGTTAATTTTGATAATAAAGAAGCTAGAGAGAATTGCAGTTTTCAAAATACTAAATAATTTCAAAAATATGAAATACTTAATATATGTAAGGTAGGTTCAAAACAGTGGTCTACTCTGATAAAAAAGTAGTCAAGTTTAACAAAATAGTAGTCCACTCTGGAAAAAAAAAGTAGTCAAGTTTAACAAAACAGTAGTCCATTCTGACAAAAAAGTAGTCAAATTTAGCAAAACATCAATCATCTCTAACAAAAAAGTAGTTAAGTTTACCAAAAAATTAATCAAATTTACCAAAAAAATCAGTCAATAAATTCAAAAAAATAATCTACAATTTAGCAAAAAATTATTGTATTAACTCTTACAAAACTAGTTTATATTTTACAAAAAATATTTTTTAACAAAATAATTGTCAAAAAACAACTCTACATTTTATAAACAATATTTTTTCCCCTATTTTTTTAATCAAAATAATTCTAAAAAAATACTCTATATTATAAAAAAAACCATAGGTTTTTTGCACAAAATCGTAGCTTAAAAAAACGTAGTTTCTTTACCCAAACTGTAAGCTACGGTTTGGAAAACCATAGTTTTGTCAAAAAATACCGTAGGTTTTTAAATAGCCTACGGTTTTGTAACTTCAAAATAATTTTTTTTATAGAAAACATGAAACAGTAGACGAAAATATATAACTACCGTTTCGTGGACTAGTTTGGGACAAAGCTTAATTTTTTGCTAAAAGTTATTAATTACCTCCCTAATTTGGCTATTTTAGTAATTTCCCTTAAATAAAAATATATTTAAAATACTATCTTAATATATTATCATTAAAAAAATAATATATTAAAAAAATTAATTAAATGTTATTAATAATATAATAAAATAATATTTATTAATGTATAAACATGATATATTAAAAATAATATTTATTAATATATAATAATGCAATAAGTAATGCAATGAATGGAAATTAAGTAAAATTAATTAAAATAATTAATGTATAAAAAATAAATAAAACTAAAAAAAATGCAGAATTAGTTGTAAAAAAATGCAGAATTAATTGTAGTTTGGCTGTAAAAATAATCCATAAAAATAAAAGTGTAATGTTAAAAAGCTAACCAGTTAAAATATTTTTGGATTAAAAGCATATAATATATCCACTTTTACTCTTCAATATATTTTTAAACAAGAACAACAAAATTTTAAACTAAAAAGACAATTTTTAATTTTGTCAAAGTTTTAATGACCTTTTAAACTCGATCAACATTTTTTTTTTTTGGTTAACCACATTTGCGGTAAGTAATACATACCGGGTCGAGAAACCGAATCCGTTTTCTGAGAATCCAAGTTTTGAGAACAAAATTTTGTTTACAACTTGAATGCATCTATGTACAACAGACTCTACCCATACCCATCGATTTGTAGAAGTACTTCACTCTCTTTATATCCCCAACGGCCACCCATATGCTGTGTGTCAGAGAGAGAGAAAGACAAAGGGAGAGAGGATAATGGACGAGGGTCACATGAGCGGAATGACCGATATGTCACCGCCACCAATCGCTGCCACAGGAGCATCACCGAAGATGGCAGGCGACATGATGCACCATCACCCGATGATGCACATGGCCTTTTTCTGGGGCAAAAATGGTGATATTTTGTTCCCGGGTTGGCCCGGAACTAATTCGGGTATGTACGCTCTCGTTCTCATCTTCGTCTTCTTCCTCGCGTTTCTCGTCGAGTTCTTATCTCACTCGAACTTCGCCCGGAAAAGGTCAGGTCCGTTGGCGGTGGGATTGGTTCATACCTTGGTTCATACACTGCGAGCCGGATTGGCTTATATGGTGATGCTGGCGGTGATGTCGTTCAACGGCGGTGTGTTTCTTGTGGCGGTGGCAGGTCACGCGCTTGGATTTCTTGTGTTTGGGACCTGGATTTTTAAGAACCCGCCGCCGCCGCTCACCGGCGATAAAAGCTCCGATATATCTCCGATGATCTGTGCTTAAATTATGCAATTATGGTTGTGTATTTGTATTTCAAATCGATTTCTTCGTACTACAATTACATTGGGATTATAGTTTTTCATTTAGCTTTTTTTTTTTAATTATTATTTTTTATAATAATAATACATTTTTAGTACAATTATAAAAATATGATTAAACCTTTGATTTATGCGGTGATATTTGATACTGGCTAGAAAATCTTTATTTTTATTTGTTATCTATAATAAATAAAGAAGATATAATAAATAATGAAGCTATAAATGCACAATTAAAAGGATCGATCATAATTAGAGTAATCTATAAATGGAAAATTAAAAAAGATGGATCATAATTACAGTAATTTCCGACTACGACTCTAACACACCTAAACGGCGATATAGGCGATATACCTCTTTTCTATTAAATACCTCTTTTCTATTAAATACTAAATGTGAGACCATGTATTACATGGGTTTAATTAAAAAATATATATATTAACAATTTGAAAATTTTGAATTTATAAGAAAAAAAAATTGAATTATTAAAATTAATAAGATTTTAATATATTGAATACATTACATATAAAAACTCTTTCTAATAAATACTTTACGTATATATTACCTTACACATTAAATGTGGAATTTTAATTTAATAAAATGACAAGTGGAAAATATAAATTTTAAAAATTCTAGAAAATATCATGTGTCCAAATGAATAAGAAGAGGACATGTGGCAAAAAAACCTTCATTTATTATAGGAGATTAATATCCTTTTCGGAGACAACTACATAAATATAAAGGAATTATCACAATTCAATTTCTTTTCGGAGACAACTACATAAATATAAAGGAATTATCACAATTCAATTTCTTTGGTAGGGTATAACATTAAATTTGGATTTTATATGGTTTATTTATTTTACATATTAGATGTATGTACATGCGTTAATTAAAAAAATTAAATAGCTAATTAAAAAAATTAAATATAAATATCTAAATATGTTAAAAACATTAAATTTATAAGAAAATTAAAAAAAATAATGAATTATTAAAATTGATTTTTTTTTTCATTTTTTAAATTTAAATAAATAAACAAAATAAACTAGCAAGCTTTAATTTAAGAGTTTTGAAATAAGAAGGTAAGTATTTTAATAAAATTGATATTCATTTATTACTATATTTATTCTAATTATTACATTAAAGTATAAAATAGAAACCTACAAAATGACATGTGGAGGAAAAAAATTTAATTCAAAATAACTACAAATAACATTTGATAAATTGAATAATTATGTGATATTTGATAAAAAAAAAACATTCATTTATTAGAATAGATAAATAATGTAAATATGATAAGACAAAATATTTTTGTTCAAATCTTACAATGTTGTTTGTCAAACAATCTATTATAAGAAACGTTAAATTTAGGAGTTTTTCACTAAAATACCAATTTATAAGAAAATAAGCAATTTACAAGAAAATAGTATGACTAATCCATCACTTAATTTGCTAAAATCATCGCGAATTTGTATAGATAATCATGTCAAATCGATCTCTACATATTTGTTTCTTATATTTTCATTCGTAAGTTTTGATTTGTTTTGAACAAACTACCATTTAATTCCATCTATGTCAACGACATGATTTGAGCGCTCAACCTCAAAGAAGAAAGACAACACCTGATATCGCTGGACTAGAAGCTCTTTGATAAGTTTGTTTTGATATGCCTCTATATCTTGGTCAATACATTTCTAGTTTGATCTTCAGAGCGTGCTTCTGGGTTTTTTAGTTACTCAATTTTTGTGAGTATTTTTCTAGTGTTCAAGTCAAGAATGGAAAATCATGTCACATACATTGAATTGAATTCAACGTTTACAATTTAAGACCTCAAGTTGTTCCAAAAAAAAAAAAAAGAAGCGTAGTATGTGATTTTTCGATGTTGTTTATACAATCATAGATATTTCGTAATTTAAGTTGGTATGTGTTGGATTAGGTGTTTAAGCTCATAATTATATTTGGTATGTACTTGATCCGGTTGTAGCATGATCCTTTTGGGTTGCCTTCACCAAAGCAACTTGACTGATGATTACTGGAGAAAGAGATTATTATGGTTTATTAATATATTATATGAATAATATATTAAAAGATAAATCATAGTGGTTAAGAATTAATTAAGAAATTGATTTTGTGATCAAAAGATATTAATTGAACCTAGGGGTCTAGAATTGCATTTATAAGACAATTGGATTTTAGGCTGAGGATCCATTAGAAGGGGGTTGACGAAATCAAGGAGGGAAGCCCACCTTGAATTCGTCCAAGCCCTTGCTGGAAGGTTCCTTTAGAATGTTTAAGGCCTAAGCAATCCAATTAGGGTTTTGACTGAAACCCTAGCAGCTCACCTATATAAAGGACCTTAGGCTTTGCATTTTCAACTAACCGTTGAACTCTAGAGATCAAGAGCCGATTTTGAGCCTCCTTCCCCTCTCTCCAAGATCATCCAACTTGTTTTGGTGTTTGTAATTCATTAGAGGCATCACATTTAAGGTGCTAGGTTCTTAAAGCTCAAGATCTTCAAGCTACAATTGAAAGGTAATTTCTTAACCCTAGTTTAGTTATGATTTTTGATTTTTTGTATGCTAGTATTAGGGTTATAAGCTTTGGATGATTTGCATGTACAATTAGAGAAACCTAGATCCAAAGCTTTAGGGTTTGCATGTGCACCATAGGATTGATGTAATACTCAAAACCCATCGGTGGTATCAGAGCCTAGACTGTTTTCTATTGTATTTGATGCTTTGTTTGATCATTCATTGCTTGCAAAATCGAATTTTCTGCCCTCTGACAGTTGAACTCGTCAAGTCACCTGATGAACTCAACGAGTCAGATGAACTCGACAAGTCCAGTCAGTGACTTGGCGAGTCGGAGAGTCAGAGAGCAGATCTTTCAGGATTTTGGCCTGTTTTTGATTGGGATAATTACTAAAACGTTTTTTTATTAATAAAAGCTGATTGTTTTTATTAAATTGATATGATTATCCTTATCAAAAATAGAAGATAATTGTCATTAATTAGATAATTATTGTCTTATATGATAATGTTAATTATTTGAATTATCTGATCGAATTATCTTGCCATGAAAACTGGATTAGGTCAAATTTAGATTATCACTAATTAATTGTTTAATTAAATTATTTGTAATTTGATCTATAAAGTTTTCAAAAAGTTTCAAAAATTTGCGCTCAAATTTTGGAATTTAAATTTTTGATTAAATGTTTTATTTTGAAATATTTAAATTGTAAACCCTATAATTTTACAAGTTTAAAATTCAACCCTTATACTATTATTATATTATAAGATTAATAATATATATGTATAAGATAAAGCTAGTCTTACTATTAGTATGACTCATTCACGAAGCCGATCTATAAGGGGGATATAAGGTTGCCGCCCATAAAATGACAGTTTAATGGGTGTCCACTCTCACCCACCGCTTCATTGATTGGTGGATGTTCGTTAGTCGAATGGATAAGATAGGGCAACTAATTCCTCATTAAAAGTATAATGATTATATAAAGTAACTAAATGTTTTTTTAATTCCCAATCTTAGTTACTTTAGGCAAAATGTGAAATGATGCTATTCCATGAAATTACACTTTGTACCATTGTCAAGTCGTTAGTGGAGCGTGTGTGGTTAACCGACACACTAATTTGGTACTAGAAAAGGTGGCAAATGGTAGTTTGATGTTTATCATAGATCAATGGAGCATGTGCGACTAACCGACAATTGATTAGGTGATTTGTAACATTGAGAGTACCAAGTACATTTGTATGGTTATTCACACCTTGTTTATGATCATCGGTATCCGAATCACAAACTTGAAGGGCATATCGAGATTTAAAAATGCCATTGAAAAGTTCAATGAATCTCAAAAGAATCTAGGAATTTCATTACATTTAAAACTTAATCTCTTTTTCGTTTTTCATGATGGAAATTAGTGAATCGTCATTCACTTACCTTCAAATTATTTGCAATTTAGGTTACGACATCCCTCTTCTATATTGTAAATAATGTTGTTGGATCCTAGCCCTAGTTTCTCATTTGGGTGTTTAATTGGTGATTATTATCTAATCAAACTTTGTCTCTTTTTCTTTTCAGATGTTTGATTCAAAAACCAACGCTTCTGTCTTAACCCTTGCTGGCTCATTCTCACTCATGAATTTGTGTGGGAGTGTGATATTTGACGGAACCAACTTCAATGATTGGATCCACAACATCCGAATGGTCACCCGCTACAAGGACAAGGAGTATGTTCTCGACAAGGAGCTAAAGGAGGTTGACACCAACATTGCTACTCCCGAAGAGATAGTTGCGTTCGAAGCTCACAAGCGAGATGCTATGAAAGTTCATTGCATCATGCTCGCAATAATGACTGCTGAACTCCAAAAGTCCAACGAGGACTATTATCCCTACGAAATGCATCAAGATTTGATGGATATGTACCATCAAAGCACGAGGCAGGAAAGGTATGAGATCATCGCTTCGATGATCACTACCAAAATGAGGGATGAAGAGTCCATCATGAACCACCTACAGAAAATGCAGAGATATGTGGACCGCTTGCTGAAGTTAAATGTTAACTTCGATGAGGAGCTAGCCAGAGATATTATTCTACACTCCTTACCTCCTTTCTATGACTAGTTTCATATGACCTACCACATGATCAAGTAAGAGGTCACTCTAAGCAAGCTTCAAGTCCTGTTAAGGACTACTAAGAGTAGTCTGAACGGAAAATCTATTGCGTCTAGTCCTGTTGCTGCCCCTGTCTTGGCTATTGGGCAAGGAAAGGGTAAGAAGAGAAAGGCTCCTTCTAAGAGCCACCGTAAGGGAAAGTCCCACGGTGGTACCTCTTCTAGTGGAACCAAGGCTGGTCCCGATGCATCCTCCTCCAACCTGAAGGATGTAGAGTGCTACTACTGCCATGAGAAAGGGCATTGGAAATGAAGTTGCTCAAAGTACTTGCAAAATATCAAGGATGGGAAGATAAAGCCGTCATTCGCAGGTATTTATACTATTCATTCTAACAACTCATCACATGCTATGTCTTGGGTCCTCGATACAGGATGTGGTTTTCACATTTGTTCCGATTTGCAGTGTCTAAGAAGAAGTAGGGATGTGGAGCAT